GACTATCCTGAGTAGCTGGGACTACAGTCACATGCCACTATACCTGGCTAATTTTTTTTTATGATTTTTTTGTAGAGACGAGGTCTCATTATGTTGCCTAGGCTGGTCTAGAACCTCTGGGCTCAAGCAATCCTCCTGCCTTGGCTTCCCAAAGTGCTAGGATTATAAGCATGAGCCACCATGCCTGGCACAAGTGGACTCTTAAAGGAATAAAAGGGGGCAGGGAGTGGACTGATACAAAGTTGTTTTTCAAGAATTCTCATCGGTTTTCAGAAATAATACTGATAAGTGTTTGGCTATATACATTGTTAAGCTATAGGGTGTGGGTTATAGTGTCTGGTGAGGCATTATTAGGTTAATTTCTAACTAACTGTGGCAATAGCGAGCAGTTTCAAGAGATTAATGCATAGCTCAAGGGGAGAGTAGGATGTGATTGCTGTGTCATCTTAATATCTTTCTGGCCCTGTTAATTTAAAAGGATTCACATTCCTTAGATAAAAGTTGTTTCCATCCCAGTCTCAGGATGGAACCTGTATTCTCAGAAATTTTTCTTCATTTCAACGATCATTGTTTGGAAATGAAGCTAGTTGGAACCTGAGTAAGTCAAGTTTTGAAAACATAGACTTCTCAGATGTTCTTAGACCCTTGCATGAACACAATACACGTGTCTGTAGCATTATCTGTTGCAAAGTTTAGTAGTCCTCTGTTTGCCTGGCACAGTGATTCTCATCCAGGAGTATGTGTCAGAATCAAACTAATACTGTGTTCGTTTGTATTAGTTTCCTTTTGCTGCTGTAACAACTTAGCACAAGTTTAGTTGGCTTAAAACAACACAATTCAAAAACTACCTGTGGGGCATAATTTTCACTATCTGGAGAGTGGGCTACCTGAGACTCAATCCCCACCACTGCACAATATGTCCATGTAATGAATATGTATGTGTACCCCTGAATCTAATATAAAAAAAACACAATTCTCTTATAATTCTGGGAGTCAGAAGTTCAAAATCACTTTCACTGGGCTAAAGTCAAGGTAGTGGGACTGATTCCTTCTGGAGGACCTAGGGGAGAATGCATTTCCTTGTTCAGCTTCTAGTGTCAACCTATATTCTGTGGCTCATAGTTCCTTCCTCCATCTTCAAAGTGCATCACTCCAATCTCTGCTTCTGTCATTGCAGTGCCTTCTCCTTCTTATGGTCAAAACTCCATTTTATGAGGATTATACTTATGGCCCACCTGGACAATTCATATAATTTCCGCAGCTCAACATTCTAAATTAATCATGTCTGTAAAGTCCCTTTTGCCACATAAGGAAACATTCACAGGGTCCCAGGGATTAGCATGTGGATATATTTGGGGCTATTGTTTGACCTCCCACAGAATCTAAACATGCTTTCTGGTTTAGTAGGTAGGTTCAGGAAATTTATATCTTACAAATTACGTGCCTGCTTAAGAACCTTGTGTCTAGCTCACAGCTCTATTCAACCTATAGTTATTGTTCCTAATATTATCTGAGGTTCTATTTAGAATTCTTAGAACAGGATTTTTTTTTTAATTTAATTTTAAAGATGTGGAGTACAATTCAGGGTTAGGTATACAAATTTTCATTATGCAGGTACCCTTGTTGATGAGGTGTGCCCCCCATCTCCTGGCAGTTTCCCTCAACTGCCAATCCCTTTCTTACAATACTGAGTGTTAAAACAGTACTATTATCTTAGCGTTTAGCTGCTCCAAGGTTGACTGAACAGCACAAACACCAATACAGTGCTTACCCCCATTGAAACCTAATATGCTTCCATAGTAGGCTGTGTTTCTATTTTATAGATGTGGAAACAGGCTCAGAGATTGTTCTCTCTGCCCAAGGTCACACAGCTGGAGGATATTATTGCAGAACCCAAATCCAGTTCTTGTTCTAGAGCCCCATACATTCCACAGAACTGTCTGAAACAGCAAACAAGGCAAGGAACTGCCCAGAGCACACATGTTCTTTTCCAACCCCTGCAACCTCCACCCTCAGAGCCACCCAAGGGAGTATTCGAATCCTAAAGCCCTATTATCCTATTCCTGACACCTGTACAATTACAGCCCATTACTACCTGAGAAAGGAGACTACATTAGTGTGGATGAAGTATTAGTGTGGATGAAGAAGCAGCCTCCTGGGATTTGAGCTCCACTCTCTTCCCACACAGTTTCTTTCTGCGGAGGCTGCCTCCCCCTTATACAGCAGGGTGTGTACTTTCAGAAGTTGAGAACATGACTTTATCAACTGCTCCCAGGCTACCATGGCAACAAGTGTTCATCCCAACAGCTTCTCCACGCCAGTCTGGCTTTTCACTTTCAAAGTTCTGCTTTAGCATTTGTGGCAAACACTTCTGAACCAAGCCACACTTTTGGGCTGCCTTGAGGCCCAGGTGACCTTGATCCGAACCAGTCACCCACTTGCTGATGAAAGGGTCTAACTCTGTGATCAATAGACTATAATGTCCTAGACAAGTGACTCCAGGGCTCAAGTTGCTAAAAATATTCATTTTACAGATGAGCAAAGTGTTTTTCAAGTTGGGGTGGTTCATTAGAGGATATATTCATTTTCTTTTCTATTTTTTTTTTTTTCCGAGTCGGAGTCTCACTCAGTAGCCCAGGTTAGAGTGCAGTGGCACATTCCTGCCTTGAGCTGCTGGGCTCAGGCGATCCTTCCACTTCAGCCTTCCAGGTAGCTGGAACTACAGGCATACACCACCACACCCAGCTAATTTTTTGATTTATTGTAGAGATGAGGTCTCACCAAGTTGCCCAGGTTGGTCTTGAATCCCTGGGCTCAGCCAATCCCCTTAACTCCACCTCCCAAAGTACTGGGATTATAGGCATGAGCCACCGCACCTGACTGGATATATTTTCTATTGCATCTGTAACAAATTAACACAAATGTAATGGCATGAAACAGAATCTTACAATTCTGGAAGTCAGAAGTCCAAAGTGGTGCAACAGAGCTGTGTTCCTTTTGCAGGTTCTAGAGGAGAATCTCTTTCTCTGCCTGTTCCTCTATTAGAGGCTGCCTGTGTTCCTTGGCTTGTGGCCCTGTATTACTCTGATTTCTGCTTCCATTGATACATCTGGCTCTGATCCTCCTTCTATTTTATAAGAAACCTTGTGATTGGACCTGGTGGAATGATCTCACCATGTAAGACCCTTAATCATACCTGCAGAATCCCTGTTGCCATATACAGGTAACAATACTCACAGGCTCCAAGAATATGGACATCGGGTTGGGAGGTGGGTGTCATTATTTAGCCTACCACACAGGGTCAGGATGTCATTTAAGTGACCTTTCAAAAAGTCTTTAACTATACATAGCACATGAGATTTTTGACCCTAATGTACAACAATGTAACATGTCACACAGAAAGGTTTAAATCCAAGACAATTTCTCACTTTATAAGAATATAAGGCAAGCTGGGCTCGGTGGCTCAGTCTGTAATCCCAGCACTTTGGAAGGCCGAGGTGAGTGGATTGCCTGAGCCTGCCCGTTCGAGACTCACCCGGGCAATTTGGCGAGACCTTGTCTCTACAATAAATCAAAGATTAGCCGGGCATGGTAACGCATGCCTGTAGTTCCGGCTACTTGGAAGGCTGAGGCAGAAGGATCGCCAGAGCTCAGCAGGTCGAGGCTGTGGTGGTTGGGAGTGTGCCGCTGCACTCCAGCCTGGGCAACAGAGTGAGACTCCAACTCAAAAAAATAAATAAAATATATATAAGGCATTATTCTGTTAATAAAGCAAGGTCTAAGAATGGCCTTGTTGAGGTAACTTGAACTTTTGGCCTTTTTATTCTAGAAATGCCAGACTTTCCACACACTAGGGTTGGATTTTACCTACATAAGACCTAACAAAAAGATTTAGAAAGAAGGGGCATATTGAAAGATGTCAGAATTCAATATTAGAGACCTACAGAATACCACAAGATGACCAAGTAGACATCATATTCTCTCACCTTTAAAGTTAGGTTTTGGACAGTACAAGTATAACTCACAATTGGGATTTAGAAGTCCAAATACTAGAAACTTTCATATTTCTATTTCTATCTTTCCCATAGAGATTTAAAGTTTTTTTCCTTGAAAGTTTTAGATCCAAATCTTCTGTTGAATAAAAGTGAATTTCTATATTAGATATCTTAAAGATGGTCTGTTAGAGCTACAGTGTGAAACAGACACTAGTCATATTGATGATGTGATTGCAGTCTAGAATAAGATTGGGCACCCTCAGGAAGAGAGCCTTGGGAGAAGGTAAAGATTAAGTACAAGTATTGGAAAAGCCACTACAGGCTCAGGTTCAATTTTTGAGTCGATGAGAGGAGTATTATCATTGCACCTAAAGAAGCTGGCACTTTATAATATTCCTTTCCCTCCCCCAAAGAGAAAACCTTTTATCTTTAGATTAAGACTACAGGGGAAAAATACGACTAAATCCTTTTAAGCTCTACTTCTTGATAGTGTAATTTGAGTTAGGAATTGCTTTTTGTTTGTTTTAGGTTTAAAGTGAAAGTTTTATTCCCAACATGAGAAATACTAGGAATTGCTTTGAATTGGAATATTAGATTTCTTGGGAAGATCTGACTTCCCTTCCCTTAAGGGAAATTATGCCAATGATCAGAGGTGTCTTCTGACTCCTCCATTCTGGGTGAGTGGGGGGAGATAGGCTCACTTAAGTTTTCCTCAGAGGTGGGCTGTAGCTAAGCCCCACTATTGACTGGGAGTGCCCGAGGATTCATGTGTAGTGGTGAGGGGTCAGAAAAGGTCAAATGACAGAAAGCAAATCACAAATTTCCCTAATCGTGTGTTCAGACCAAAGCCTGTCCAGAGGATTGTGGATAGGTACTGTATCCACACTGAACAATCATTGAAGGAAAGAACAATGACTGAGAGAAACAATCCTACTGTGTCATCTAATCTTAGTGAGAATGTAGGAAGCAAGAGGCTTACTTCAACTGCTTTATTTGAAAGTCTGGTTAGTGATTTAACATCAGGGTTCTTTTCTTGCACAGATAATTGATGAAGCCTAGAGTTGCCACCACACCTGCTATGGCAGCCATGACAGTCACTGCTTTAATAGCAACATCTCCAGCAGTCCCATGCCCTTTGGCACCCACAATATCTGGAAAGGAAGCAGACATTGAAGTCTTAATATCAGATCATGTTTAAGTCACATGGGTACGATTTAAGCCTTACCATCTAAGGGCTCCCCCAAGAAGGGTATGAAACTAAGCCTCAACGAGTTTATTCGGGAAGTTTGCAGCAGGAAATAACCTTACCTTGTGAGCCAACTTCCTCCTTCCCTGCTCCACTCCCACTGTTCCCACTTGCTTTTGCCAGTCTCAGATCAGAGCGGCTGACACCTGGAAAGAACCTGAGATTCTCAGCCTGTTTAATATAACATTCTGAAGCTAACAGATATGGTTAGCCATCCCCTGAGTGATTAATCTCACAGGTTGTTCATTAAGACTATTATCTGCAATAAGGACATAGGATAATAACAGGAACATACAGATTTGAGTTTGGCAGTGACAAGTTAAAAGACGCATATGCCTCTAACCTATCGATGCTATTAATAGGAATATATCCTGAGTTTGTCAATTGGCAAGGATTTCAATATGACGTAGGTACAAAAATTAGAAGTAACCTGTAGATGTCTGTGAAAGAAGAAACCAGCTACAGTAGAGCCATGTGGAATCCTATATAGCTGTCAGCTGTGAGGTAGGTTTCTTTGTACAAACATAAGGTGGTTAAAACAAATTAGAAGTAATAGAATAGAATATACGATCCTACTTTCTGTTAAAAGGGATTCCTAGAAAGCTACACAGGAGACTTAATGGAAGCCTATCTTTGGAAAGGGAGACTTTGTCTTTTATTCTTCTGTTTAGATTTACCACAAGTACGTGCTATTTATGCATAAGCATTAAACTCTTGGCATAAAAAGCTTACAGCTTGAGTTCAGGAAGTACCCAAGGCTTTAAATCTATACCTCTGAATGAAGAGTCATCTGACAACAGGAGAATGGGTCCTGGGAGGCTGACTGTCATTTTCTCTTCTTCAGTGACCCCTGTGGCTGGAGCAAGATGATCAAATTTGTATGTGACTTCTGGAAGAGTGGTTAGAAAGGTATGTCAATAGGGTGCTTAAAAGCAGAAACTCTATGGAATATTCTGTTTTTTAGGGAGTTTTGCCTGCCTTTGCCTTTTTTTTTTTTTTTTTTTTTGAGTTGGAGTCTCACTCGGTCACCCAGACTGGAGTGCAGTGGCCGCTCCGGCCACCGCAGCCTCGACCTGCTGGGCTCCGGCGATCCTTCCGCCTCAGCCTTCCGAGTGGCTGGAATTACAGGCATGTGCTACCACGCCCGGCTGATTTTTTGATTTATTGTAGAGATGAGGTCTCGCTGCCCAGGCGGGTCTCGAACCCGCGGGCTCAGGCAATCCACTCACCTCAGCCTCCCAAAGGCGTGGGATTACAGGCTGAGCCACCGAGCCCGGCTGCCTTTGCCTTTTGCTGTAAAAAAACCAGGATGAATCCTCAAAGAGCTTGTCTATAGAACTAAACAAGAACCCGCCCATCTCCAATTCATCATATAAATACAGCAAGCTGGGCCAAGAAGAGACTTCCTGGGCTCTTGGTACTAAGAATCTTATCCATTGTTTAAAAAATTTCAAATTTGAAAAGTTGAAGCTTGCTGGGAGTAATAAACAGGGATTTGAAGTTTTTACCTCGCCTGAGCCTAGCTGATACAGGGCAAGTCACAGAACATAGAGGGGAGTCAGGAGAGAGCTGATTGCAGATTAAGGTGCTGCAGTGGAAGTAGATCTGGAGAAGGAAGAAGAGTTAAGTGGAGTCATTAATGTTTAGTTGCTGCACTAATGTTTAGCTTGCCCATGGTGACTTCTTGACCACTTACCAGACTAGAAAGTGCCTGGGTTTCTGATACAAAGGCAAAGGTCTTCACGTCAAACCTCTGGTAGTGATCAGGATGGGTCACAGAGGAACCAACTGGGTGGAAGTTAGTTTGGTAGTTGTCCAAGTTGTATGCACAGCTAGGAGACACAGCATTATCAGTCAGAGGCAACCCAGAGTCCAGTTTCATGTTTGCTCAAATTCAGTCACATGTAACACTTTCAGGACTACTGCTATGTCTACCTTCTACCTGTATCTTTGTTTTGCTTAATGTACCTCTTGCTTACCTGACCTATACAATAGTTCTATGAGTTGTACGTGCTATATTTTTCAACTATGTATTTTAAAAGGCACCTGTTTTCCAATTAAAGTCTTCCAGAGGTACAAGTTATACGTATCATCTCAGAAGACACTGGCTTATTTCCATGAGTGACATATCTCAGGCAAAATGTATAGGTGACAGAAGTAAAGAACCCCTGCCGTTTTCTAATTTTACATGCTAGCAGGGGGTGATTCTATAAACACAGGCTAGGTAGTAAATGTCAAAAAAAGAGTTAGACCAGGGTGAGGAGTAAGGAGGGCCAGGGTAGGTCCCGTGGAGAAGGGGGACATTTGACCAGGTGTTTAGTGAGATGAAGGAATGAGCCACATAAATTCACTGGCTACACATGGCCCTAAGGCAGGAATGTACCTGGAGGTTAAGAGCTTCAAGAAAGCTAAGGTACAGTTCTATCTACAGGCTGAGCTGTGAAGATAAACATCTATATGTACAAGTATGGGTAGTCACAACCTCAGCATCACAGTGATCAGGTTCTAGAGTCAGATGGGTATTCTAATCCCAGCTTCACTATTTCATATTGCTTTGGGCTAGTTGTTAAGCAGCAAGCTAACTTCACTTCATGAAATGAGATGGCTAGTGAGTGGCTCCCTCATAGGGAGATGAGGCTCAAATACTACATGTAGAATATATACCATATGCCAGGCACAGTGCTAGATGTTGAATTAATGGATAGGAAATGGAAATCTATTTAATCTCCAGATGAAGACTAGCGTATTAGAGTCATAATTCTGGGGGTAAGGGTTGGAGTGGGGTGGGAATCCCATTCCTTAAGATTAAAAGGTAAACCGGGCTCAGTGGCTCAGCCTGTAATCCCGCACTTAGGGAGGCTGAGGTGAGTGGATTGCCTGAGCCCGCAGGTTTGAGACCCGCCTGGGCAACTTGGCGAGACCTCATCTCTACAATAAATAAAAAAGTCAGCTGGGCATGGTAGTGCATGCCTGTAATTCCGGCTACTCGGAAGGCTGAGGCGGAAGGATCACCAGAGCCCAGCAGGTTGAGGCTGCAGTGACCGGGAGCGGCCACTGCACTCCAGTCTGGGTAACAGAGTGAGACTCCAACTCAAAAAAAAAAAAAAAAAAAAAAAAAAATTAAAAGGTAATAAGAAAGCTAGCATGAGTCCTAATTAGACCAAGGACTAATTACTAGGTAACAAGGACTAAATCAGGGCCTTTGACTAAATCAGGGCCCCCTTGAAGCCCATGAGGGTTTATTTTCTCCATCATTGACAAGTTCTGATGGACTAGCTTGGCAACCATATAGTACAAAGAATACCTACCCATCCACAACAATATTCCACTGGGGGAGAGAGTCTGGGTCTGTGGTGGACGTTGCCCAGCAGTCATCTAAGACTAGCTTGATGTTGGGGTCATCCCTGTTTAGGACTCTCACTTCCATGTAAATTGGTTGGCGGAGGAATCTCACTATAGGATACTCGTTGTTCCCATAAGGTTGTTGGTAGGAGTTATCTGAAATGGAATGGAAACCTCTTCAGCACTCAGGTAGTTGATAGCTGTAACATAAGCTCACGGGTCACCACTGTTCCATGAGTCTGATAGCATCAGAAAGTTTATTTGGGATGAGAACCCAAGAATATTTAAACAGTTTCTCAGATGCAATGTCTCTTACCTGGGTAGGCTTGCAGGATCAAGGTAAGTGGACCTTGCTTCACTGAGGCCACTGGAGGAAGAAGACTTTTGACATTGACGTTTAGTAGCCTGTCATCTCTGCTGTAAGAACATTTCACTGTCATCCTGTAAGAATTTGTGTGTGTGTAGAGGGGGACAAAGTTTAGGTTAACAAATTGCTTGGATTTAAACTAGAGCTTTAAAAACTCAAGCAGTGATTATATCACACCTGAACTCGCTATCTCTGGATATTTTGCTTGGAGGAAGATCTGTCCAGAGAGCATGTATTTCGTTTTCGTAGATGACTTTATCATCTTCAAACTTAAATGCCAGAGAAAGTTGGTTAACAGCCAACCACTTCAAAGAGAAGTCTGAAATTCTTACCATCCACCAGCACTCACCTTATATCTCGTCCCACAGCCATTCAGGGGTATGTGAAATCGTACTATCCCCTGGGACTGAGCCTTGAAGACAGGTTGGCAGGATGAGTTTCCCACCCTGAGGGTACCCAAGTTGAGAGCTGGTTTTGTTTGGTGACTGTAGACCTCAAAGTCCATAAATCCATCCTGGGTACACAGCTCACCTGTAACTAGACAGTGGTGAAGGTTTAGAGAAAATAAGCATCTGCCATGTGATACTGTGTTATGAGGAAGACATTTTCATTTGGCAGGAGGTACCAGAATGTGTCTTAAGTCTTTGTTTGGGAAAATACCTTGATAGGTACTTGAATTGCAAGGGGAGCTGAAACAGTTAAGCTACTCTATGTGAGAGAACGGGTAGATTTTTTATTTAAGAGGGACCTGAAGACATGGATAGAAATACAACATAGACTAAGAGGCCAGTGAGAAAACCCTAGTAAAGAGCTGAAGTAACTTAAGATCAGGTTTAATATGGCTTTAAGTATAGAGTCTGTGTTATTTTGTCCCTTCTTTCAACACTTATGAATCCCGTCATTTCAGGGAAAAATTGAGGCAGGAACTTTTTTTCTTCCATTTGGTTTGAACTGACACAGATCAGGGTAAACAAAAACACAGGGCAGAGGCAATGCTGACACCAAGAAGAAATACTCTATTCCTTTTGGGGAATTTTTAGGAGTTTGGGGAAAGTCTTTTTAAGCTTTTTATAGTCCTTCTAATTAGAGGTTTGAACATTCTTGCCTAGGCAGTGGGCTCAAGCCCCCTAACCCAAAATACCTAGGTTACTTACATATGAAATAGTTATAGTGAGCTCTACCTGTATGACTATCTTAGAAATAGTATACTTAAGGTCCTGTTATAGCAGTTAGATTGTTTCTGATCTGACTAGTCTTTAGTTTCTTCAAACCACAAGCAATTTATCAGCATATGACCTTCTATACGGCTATTTTAGAAATAGTATACTTAAGGTTCTGTTATAGTAGTTAGACTGTTTCTGATCTGACTAGTCTTTAGTTTTTTTAAACCATAAGCAATTTATCAGCATATAACCTTCTATACATTTTTCCACATGTACAGAAAGAGCCAAGTGAGAAAAATGTTGAGAATTTAATAAAAGGCCTTTACCTATAGAAACCGGTGACTCACAGAGACACTCAGGATAAATCACCATGGAGACTGTCTCCTTTCGCAGGTAAAAGGTCAGCTTGAGTGAAGAGACATAGAACTGATCGAGTAGGCATTTTTCAGAGGACTGAAATGAGAGAAGAATGTCAATGAACAGCGACAGCCTGCCTGGGGCCCAGAGTAGTCACAGGGAGGCAGGAAGGAAGCCCACCAAATACTCACAGGGCGTACTCAGACTTATCTGGTTTCCCTTTAAACCAATACAAGACAGACCCTATCACTTCGAGATCAGGATGTTTCCCCAGGCAGGAAACTTATTGCTTTAAATTCATGCCCTGAAGTACCCAGCACTGCTTAGTCTTTGTCACTTAGTCACTAAAGCTTGAATCAACAGATCAAATTCCAAAGAATAGTGTTGACTATGGATATCACTAAGACAAGTGTGAGTCAAAAGGACTCTATAGATGTTGCACAATACTATTGCAAGATATATATACCCAACAAAATTCTCGGGTATGCCTAGCAATTCCTCTAGCTAAGACCATCCTCAACGAGGACAATATAGGACCCTTTTTAGATCAAGCTGCCTTCTTCTTAGTAGAACATAACAGAGGTTCATCATTAGGTTTGTTTGTTCATTTGAGTTGGGGTCTCATTCTGTTGCCTGGGCTGGAAGAGCATAATCACAGCTCACCATAGCCTTGATCTCCTGGGCTCAGGAGATCCTTCTGCCTCAGCCTCCCAAGTAGCTGGGACTATAGGCACTTGCCACCATGCCTGGCTGATTAACTGTTTTTGTAGAGATGAAGTCTCATTATGTTACCTAGGCTGTTCTTGAACTCCTGGGCTCAAGCAATCCTCCCTCCCTGACCTCCCAAAATGCTGGTATTACAGGCATGAGCCATCATACCTGACAGTCATTAGGTATTTGAAAAATAGATTATTCAGTGAGTCTAAGAAAACTTCTATTATAGAGTTTAAAGAGGTTTGTATTTAAAGAGTGAACTTCAGTTACTTGAAAATTCACTTAAGATAAGATGAGACCTTCTAACATTTGAGTCTATTGTGTTAGCAATTAGAGTTTGTGAGCAAGTCATCAGCTGTTATCAGGATTACCCACAAGAGTAATCAGGATACATCAGGATCTTGTAGAGTTCAGGAATAATGGAACAGTAGATAATGAAACATACTTTTGTTTTCAGAAGAGTTTTGCTGAAATGCAATCTCAAGCCATTTGTCACTTCAAAATCAATCCCATTGTCATGCAACTGGCTCACAATGATGTTCCTGTTTTCAAAGTTCACTAACTTAAGCTTCCCAGGAAACTCTGGTATGGTGACAGTCAGGTGTGTGGCATTACAGGACACAGGATCTGAAAGAAATGGCCAACAGAATGCCCATCACCAGCCTTGATTAAGCCCCAGAATTATGTCTCCCACAACTGACAATGCAGCTACTTGGAGCCTCACCTGGTGCACAAATAGCTTGTGATGAGAAGATTACCTTCTGCCCGGGAGATACAAACATAAGCTTCAAAAACACCATGTAGAGATGACTGTTACCTTGCTGGGGGTAGAAAACAGTATTTTCAAAGACATTGGTTTACTTCAATCTCTAACCCATAAGAATCGTCAGGATAAGCATATACTGAAGTATTTGGGCACCATTTTGCCCAGTGACTGTTCTGGAGGTGCCCTAGTCTTAATCTTTGTCTTCTAATCTCTGGAAGACTAGGGTTGTCTATGGATATCACCTGTGACTGAACATTTCTAAGCGGAAATAAGAGTTGGCTTAATTCCATGACTATTTTATAGTATCAACAGCAAGAGAATGTTGCTAAGCTTTAATCTGTTTGTATTCTTAATATGAAACAGTACTGTTCTTGTTAAAGTGACTGACATTTGAGCACTCATGTGCCAGAACCTGTCCTAAGTATTTTAACACATTAATCCATTTAATATAATGTCTTGATTTTTAGCCTGGAAATCACCAATATCTACTGTAATATAAAATATAGAACAACAGCAACCGAAACAGAATTCTTAATTCATAAGAGTACATTTCTTCTACATTAGGCCATAGATTTAAGTCTATAGGAAAGGGAGACCAGATTAAGGTAAGAGCCATATCTTTAGTACCCAGAAAAGTGTTTGGCACTTAGAAGGCATTAGTACTTGAATATGTTATATTATCAATTAATTTGAAGACATGACTGAGATTGCCCTTGGATCTAGGAGTACTGGCCTATGATTAGGTGGTGGCACAAAAGTCTTTACACCTACCATATAGTGAGTCACTCCAGTGGCATTGAATGACACATGGAAGGTCATCTTGTGGTTTTCAATCAGAAGACCAAAGCCTTGATTCATGGCCTCTGGCAGGGTCAGAGTTTTGGCTCTTACACCATCACCAACCTCAACACTCCATCCCAGCTGAATAGTTTCCTAAAGTCAAAAACTCTGTTTAGAGGTCTGGTGCTCACTTGGCCTTGACTATTGAGGTCTAATGTTTTGTCAGGTTAAAGTCACCTTTAACACAGAGTTAAAGGTTAGTAAAAGTCTAGTTTTATTTTGTTTGAGTTGGGGGTCTCACTCTGTCACCCATACTGGAGTGCGGTGGTATAATCACGGCTCAACACAGCTTCAACCTCCACAATTCAGGCAATCCTCCCACCTCAGCCTCTCAAGTAGCTAGAGCTATAGGCACACACCACCTTTTTTGAGGGGGTAGAGATAAGATCTTGCTATGTTGCCCAGGGTGGTCTCGAACTCCTGGGCTCAAGCAAGCCTCCCACCTCAGCCTCTTATAGTGTTTGGATTATAGGCATAAGCCACCATACCTGTCATAGGGTCTAACTGTAGAAATTGCTTTCATACCTCAATGTCATCAGCCAAGCCAGAGAAAACCCGTGGCAAGGAAAACTGGAAGAAAAAGTGAGAATCTTGATGTGAGACTTTGATTCAGAGGAGAATGTTTCTGAAGTCATACTACCTTGCTTATATGTAGAAGACACGCAGAAAGATTGCTGTTATCACACCAAGAGGCCTGGTTGTGAGATGCAGTAGGAAAGACACAGGACCAGTCATGAATCCTGACTGTGCCCTTAGATATCTTTTACCTCTTTGAACTTCTGATGCCCAAAGGCAACTGAAAGTTCTAAGTTCCCTTCTAGCTGTAAGTTGGGATCCCAAGTTCTTAAATGTGTAATCTTTTACTAGTTGGAAAAAAAATAACTCAAGCATTATAGAAATCCATTGTTGTGATGTTACTTTTATATCAGTGTTACTTTTAGTTATCTATTACTGACATTAGCTATATTAGACAATAAGTTCTAGGAGAATATGATTAAGCTGTTTAGCTCATTTGTTATAGCTTGTAACTGGTATAGGTCCTAGAACATGGTAGGTCTTCAGTTTGTCAAGTGATTATTGATGTGATTACAGCTACCAATGGAATATTTTCTATTGCCAGGCACGATGGGCTAAGTGCCATATATACCCTCTCAGCAAATTCTTGGAGCCACCCTATTGTTTCATCACTTGGGACCTAGAAACACAGCCTCAGGGTGGTTAAAAAGTTGGGATCCCAAGTTCTTAAATGTGTAATCTTTTACTAGTTGGAAAAAAAATAACTCAAGCAAATAAGCAGTGAATACAGGATTAAATCCTAGTTCAATTTCTAAGCCCTGCTCTGTCTAGAACACCATTATATTCTCCCCTGCAGCAGTCATATTCCCCAGCAACCAACTTATTTCACTCACAGACATGGAATCTTTCTTGCAGACTGTAGATTCTGAAAGCCCATGGGTCTCTTCTACTTGCATAGTTGGACAGAAGAACTGATACATGACAGCCCTGTTTCTTAAAGCAGTACTGCTGTTCATGAATCTGATGGTCATCTGGTACCCACCAAGCTGTGTACAAATAGCATAGTAAGAACAAAGGAAGTGCTGATACCTCCATGGGAAAGGTGATTCCAGAGTACCATCTGACTTAACTGAGTGGCAAAACCGTTAAAGTTACCAGTACCACAAGTGCTGGAAGGTACCCTGTTCTTACAACCAAGAGACTCTAGCTAGGGCACTGTAATATCTTAGTAAAGACTCATGATGACAGAACATGAGAGCATCAAGAGTTAGGGGAGATATAAAGGAAATACAAACTGAACTTGATGTCTGAATAGGGTCAGTATGATGCCTCTACCCAAGCTATTCAAATGCATTTATTAAGCACCTAAGTAGCAGCCATTGTGTGGGGGGTGCTAGAGAAAGCCATCTCTGCCCTTACTCTTTACCTCAGGGAACAAGTCTAAAACAGAGGTTGGCCAACCATTTTGTGTTAAGCGTTAACTATTTTAGCCTCTATGGGTCATGTATAAGCCATAGCTCACTTACGATCTACAGAGATGTAAAAATAAAAACATTCTTAGTTCAAGGACAGTTTAAAAAGGCCAGAGACCGGATTTTGCCATCCATAGGATATAGTTTGCAGACCCTTGGTCTAGGGGAATACAATTAATCCCCTAATATTGGGAGGTCTATTTTATTTTATTATTTTATTTTATTTTTTTGAGTTGGAGTCTTACTCTGTCACCCAGGCTGGAATGCAGTGACACACTCACGGCCACCTCAGTGTCGACCTGCTGGGCTCCAGCAATCCTTCTGCATCAATCTTCCAAGTAGCTGGAACTACCACGCTCAGCTAATGTTTTATTTATTATAGAGACAGGTCTTGCCAAGTCCCCTGGGCTGGTCTTGAATCCACGGGCTTAGACAATCCACTCACCTCAGCCTCCCAAAGTGCGGATTACAGACTGAGCCACCAAGCCCGGCCAGGAAGGTCTATTTGAAAAGGGCCAAGTTTAATCACAAATGTCAGAAAGGGCACATGATTACATCATTGGTCATTCACAGAGGACCTTACACCAGATGACTTACAGTTCAAGCTTGTTTACAGAGCAGAATCTAAGAATGCATCTTTACAACTTAGACTGGAGATTACTTGTATAACCTGCTAGATATGTAGATTCCCAGAACTCATCCTAGACCTCTGTCAACTAGTCAATTAAACTCAAATTTCAGTTTCTTCAGGTGATTCTTCACACTAGAGCTTGAGAACTGCTTACACAAGTTGATTGTATTGCTCCTGATAACCCTGATTGGCTATACTGTTACGTGACAAGAGAAATCCTTGCTGTTGAGCTGCTGTTTGCCTTCTAACACCTGTTTTTACAGGCTAGAGGGTCTCTATTTGCCAGCACTCAAGTAGCTTTCCATCCTACATGGGGATTACAGATCAAAATAGTTCATGTTTGATCATTTATTGGATCCAGGTTCTTCATCTGTTTAATATTCGTTGCCGGGCTCGGTGGCTCAGCCTGTAATCCCGCACCTTGGGAGGCTGAGGTTGAGTGGACTGCCTGAGCCCGTGGGTTCGAGACCTGCCAGGGCAACTTGGCGAGACCTCGTCTCTACAATAAATCAAAAAAAATTAGCCGGGCGTAGTAGCGCGCGCCTGTAGTTCCAGCTACTTGGAAGGCTGAAGCGGAAGGATCGCCGGAGCCCAGCAGGTCGAGGCTGCGGTGACCGGGAGCGGCCACTGCACTCCAGCCTGGGCGATAGAGTGAGACTCCAACTCAAAATAATAATAATGATGATAATAATAATAATCATCTTTAGTTACCCTGTAGAGCAGGTACCATTATTCCCACTTTCCAATTGGAAAACAGAGGCTTGAAAAAGTTAAGTAATTTTCTCAAGATCACATCTAGATTGGGGCAAAACAGGGACTTGAGGGCTCAAGCCCCATGCTTTCTCAACCACAACACTGATATTTCAAGCCTGATAATTCAGTATTACAGAGCCAGGGCACCCTTGGGTTATGTTACTTATCTGGCGGCATTTTGGTTTGTGCCTATTAGATACCAACAGCAGCTCCCCTTCCCTAAGTTGTAATAGCCTAAGACATCTCCAGACCTTTCCAAGTGTTTTCGGAGTAAGTTATTAAAAAAAAAAAAAAAAATTTCACATCCACAAAACCCAATGTCTTCTGTTTGAGAGCCACTGGTCTACTCTAGTGGGTAAGTTCTTAACCACCGCCAGGTCTACTACCAATAACTATTGCTTCCCAGATCACTCCTCAAAGCAGTTACTTACCACTCTTTTGGTACAGTTGTCATAAGGAGCCCTCAGGGTGAGCTTTTCTGGATCCAGGACATAAGGGCAGTTTGGCATGTCTAGACCAAGGGGATCTACAGAGCAGGTTAGATAGGATGGCTAAGAAGTATATTTTAGTGACTGTCAGCTAAATCTACAGAGCCAACAAGACTACCAATCTGTTTCTAAAGTACTTCAATCACTACTTTTGATTCAACTGGGTGATAAGACTTTAGTTTTAAGATGCTGTGACTTATAGCCAGAAGTTTCCCAGGAGATTCTGATATGTCACACTTTCAAGGAAAGACAGGTTGTTCCACTCTTGGTGGGCTTATGCAAATCAGGGACCCCTATAGCATAATAGGTATTGGATGCCAGTTGCTGAAAAAATTTGGGTACTCAGCTCCCCAAACAGATGGGATGGATCCCTAGCCGAGGACTCTTTAATAGTGAGGACTAAAATGAGATAATATACGTTACTTACCCACCACGAATGCATGCCATTTCTTGGTGCTAAGATCGCTTGGAAACTCCACTGTTATTTCATTTTCACTGCAAATGACAGTGCCTGAAGAGCAGAGGAAGTGTTTGGGGTCTTCACGAACTATAAGATGTGTAATTCCTGCAGAAGTGTATGGAGAGAACCCCGCCCCCCAGCTATAGGCATAGGGAAGGATGCCAGTTGAGTGAGGCAAGGATTGCTCCTTACCCTTGGGAAACCACAAATGGTTGACAAGGACAGATGACTATAATATGATATACCAAGAACTGTAAGGAAAGTTTCAAGCACCCAGGGCTACCTGATGCATTCCAGGAATAAGCATAGATGGGTGTTGACAAACATGTCTGTAAAGAAGTCAGTCAGAACCTTGACAGTGAAACTGATAGAGATAAGTCTGAAGAACAGTGGTATAAAGCAGATTTTTCAAACTGAAGATAAAGAAGTCCTGGGTAAGCCCAGGTCTGCACTTTTAACACCAAGTTTTGTCAATCTGCCACTCTGACCTCTGGCCCAGGTGAGTGTCAAGTGAGCATCTTTGGTTTTGCCTGTTATGTTGATGCTTTTTTAAAGCCTGAGATTTTGTCTGAGCACTGCTGCTTCTCCTGGAGATGAGGTGTGCTATTGTGTGGAGACCATAAAGCTTGCTGCAGTGAAGGACTAGAAAGGAGTGCAGGTGACTTTTGGAATTCTTGTGTTTAGCTGGCACAGCAAGTCCAGAGGTAAACAGTGGAAAGATCCAGCGACCTGATCTTTCCAATGTAAGGAAAAGGGTGAGAAATCGACTGATCCAGGCTTGTGTTTCCTGGCCAGCTAGGCCCTCTAGCTGCAACCTGTTTACTCTGTTAAGGGCACTTCCCTCACCCAAGAGACATACCTGGAAAGGCAGAATTCACCAAGTGAGAAACACCAATTGAGTTCACTGAAGTCACAAGGACGAAGAAAAAAGAAATCAACTTGTAGGTGCTGGAAGGGGACACAGATGAAGAGACAGTTAAGGAAAAACAAACTTAAGCAAACAAGGCCATCACATACCCTCCCTCTGCTCACAGAATTACTCACCTCCCAACTGGGTTGAACCAGCCTGGGGGAATCCCAGAATCTCCTCTCTGCCAGCACACCATGGTAGAAGACACTACCAGATCAACCGGGTAGAGGGTGGGCTGCTCTGTGCTTTTATAGCAGGATGTTAGCTGGGACCCCGCCCTCTCCCTATTGGGGGCACCTGAATCTTGTCCCTACCCTCTCAGCTGAAAGAGAAGCGTTTGGGACGTGGCATCTGAACTTCCTGACACTTGCCTTGTGTCTTCTGCCAGCTGCGTCTAGGTCAGGCATGAAATCAGAGTTCCTGAAACTGACTCCAGAGGAGTGAACTGGTGTTTTTACTGTAACTTTGGGACAAATTAGGATCTTTTGGACAAAATATTTATAACTCCAATGCAGTGTGAAAACAAGTGGTGGGTCTTATTGTGGAAAAAACGTGTCTTGTTCATGCCACTAAACATTTTCTTTAAGCAATCTCTAGTCTCCCAGCTATTGTGGAAATTGCCCTGGCAATGTGCATGAAGAAGAGCATTTTAAAAATATATATATATGCAGCATTATTGACCCGCCAAGTATAAATGTTTAAACTTACTACAAAAAAATGCAGACAATTACAGAAGGATATAGAGAAAAGGTAAAAGTCACCAGTCATCTCGCCATTGCTAATATTTAGGGGAGAAACTTTACAGAGTTTTTCAGCAAACATCACACACAACAGAATAAAAAAGAAACCTGGGAGCAAAGTTTAAATAGTTTTGTAATCTGCTATTACCACTTTATAACATACCAAATATAAAGTGCTTCATTACCATTTTAAGGTTGCATAGTATTCAACGTTGAGATAAATTGGTGTCTATCTGACTTTATCTTAATTATGAGCACTAAAGTGGCTTCCAATTTTCCATCATTCTAAACAATAACATAATGAACATTCTTGCACATTTCCTTGATTAACCCTCAGGATAAATTTCTAGAAGTAGAATTTCTGGGTCGGAGGGAGTAATCATTTAATAAGAATGTTACATTGTAAAGCACTTGGGATTTTACAGATAGGGAAACTGAGGTAAAGCAATTTGTTCAAGTTTTGACAACTGAGTGTTAGGGACCAGATTGAGAACTCAGATTTTCTGAGATCTGGTCAACATTTATCTTTTCAACGTTTCTCCATAACAGGTGAATTTAATGATCAAACTCTGCACCAGTAGTGGGTAGTGTTTGCAATTAGTACTGATTCATGTATTGCCTTTGTGTTATAACCTGAGGCATCTGAAATACATTATAGGTTAGTGTTTCCCCAACTTCCTTGATCCAAAGGATTGCATGGGGCTCTCGTTAATAACACAGATTCCTGGGTCCCACCCAAAAGCTGCTGAACCAGACTCTCTAGAGGAGGAGCCTGGGTAGTGTATGCTTAACAAAATCCACAGGTGATTCTTATGATCAGGAAAATCTGGAAAACCCCAGAAGGGAGGTAAGTGAAAAAAAATCGGTGGCTGCTGGTTAACCTCTTTATGGGAGTTAATTGATGATGTCCCAGTGGACTTGGGGAGGAGGAGTAAAATATAAATAAGCAGATTTTGGAGGTAGAGACAGTAAAATAATTTCATTTCACAGCAGAAGACTGATGATCGTTTCTCCCTCTTTTTTCCAAAAAATGGCACCTTTTCTACAAATGGGAAGGTAATTGGTTACCGCAATGATTAAGACTATGATGAAAAGACATTAGAGAAAGTAAGGAGCATGGACACAAGATTCAGACTTATTCAGAAGGTGGTCAAAGAAGTTATAGTTCAATGTGTTTATTCAGCCTCCCCCAGACCTACCCCTAGTGATTCTGCTGCTCATTCCTCCCAAGATCATGCCTCTTCTCTGGAGTGGGAGGTTTTTCAAGTTAGGGGCCTCTGGGAAGCTAAGGCCCTGAGCAGGAGACATGGAGAGAAAAAGATCCCCTGTGGTACTGGTGAAGGTGCTGAGTGCACCAGAGATTAATTTCATGAGCGTCATTTAACCCAGGCCTGTGGTGTGTTAGGGACAGCCACTGAACACTGGCTCCAGGGTCATGAAAAAAATCAATGTCTAGCATTCTGCTCTAGAAAAACCCTGCCTAAGTGTATAAGGATACAATAGTATTTGTGGTTGGCTCTGAAAACAAGGAAGAAACAGTTTTTCATAATGAGATAGTGTCTTTCATCAAGAGGTAGGAAAAACTAAAGTCTTAATGAAAATGGTAGATTATTAATATTTCACTGTATAATGGGATCTCTTTCAAATGTATGATTTTCACACTCTTTTTTTTCTTTTCTTTTTTTTTCTTTTAAAGATGTGGATTACAATTCAGGGTTAGGTATACACATGTTCTTATGCAGGTATTCTTGTGGATGAGGTGTGCCCCCCCTTCCCCAGGCAGATTCCCACTACTGCCAATCCCGCTTCCCTGCTCCCCTCCCAGCAGTTTTCCAGAACTGCCACTCCTTTTCTTATAGTATTATGATAATCGTTCAAGGTCTGCTTATGAGTGAGAACATGTGATACTCAGGTCTTTGTTTCTGTGAAAGAGCACTCAGTATTATAGACTCTAAGTCCATATAGGTTGCTGTGAAGTTCATGATTTTGTTCTTTTTTATGGCTGCATAATATTCCATGGTGTATATGTACCATATTTTTTTAATCCAGTCCTTTTAATGGGTAGCACGATTGGTTCCATGTTCTTGCTACTGATTTTCACACTCTTTCAATGAGCCTTTTAAAGTTTGCTAATGTATGACTACGTGGTGTTCTCTCTCTTCTTTACCCTGGTCTCTACCTGAATTTTTTTTTTTTTTTTTTTGAGTTGGAGTCTCACTCTGTTGCCCAGACTGGAGTGCAGTGGCCGCTCCCGGCCACCGCAGCCTCGACCTGCTGGGCTCCGGCGATGCTTCCGCCTCAGCCTTCCAAGTAGCTGGAACTACAGGCGTGTGCTGCCACACCCAGATAATTTTTTGATTTATTGTAGAGATGAGGTCTCACCAAGTTGCCCAGGCGGGTCTCGAACCTGCGGGCTCAGGCAATCCACTCACCTCAGCCTCCCAAGGCACGGGATTACAGGCTGAGCCACTGAGCCCGGCTCTTCCTGAATATTTTGAGGCCGCTTCTCTCCTGCTAATCATAAGGCATTTCTTAAAGAGCATTATAGTTTGCTCTTATGCCTAGAATGAGGTTGTTAGGCAGGTGCCCTCCTTTCTGAAGTACAGTTCTTATAAACAGCTCATAAATCTTAAAGTCTGAATTTGCTGTCTTGTTTTCCACAATTATAAAAATATTTATTAAATACAACTAAATATTATCATCTGGAGATGGTTAGTTTATCCATATTATTTATAAGGGAATACTTTTAGCTACTGAAAATGACTCTAAATGTAAAATGCAGTTGTAACTGAAGTTCCATACAATGTTCTGCTGGTCACGTGGCTAATGTATAGGTATGGACAACACTGGACTATAAAAGTGGACTGCCAGGCCTGAAGGGTGGGCAGAACCCTTCTAGAAAGAACTTGGGTCTGGTTCTGCTCCCTGGATTTGAATTCAGAAATAAATTGCTTTCTACTAATTTTTCTGCCTCTCGATTTATTGGCATTGAGGGTTAGCAGTCGAGCATTTACTTGAACCTTAACAACCTTTCTTTTTTTTTTTTTTTGAGTTGGAGTCTCACTCTGATGCCCAGACTGGAGTGCAGTGGCCACTCCCAGC